CTTTATTGCTCTTTCCAGAGTCTCCACATCAGTTTTGTGTTGTGATGACCAAACCTTGGATGCAGTGGATAAAAGCCGACAGCTCCTGACACCCACAAATGACCCCCCTCTTTCAAAACAAGACCCACCTCCTACTTCACACAGTTACACGTGTGCCTGGCAGACATACAAGAGAATAAAGATGCCGCTATGCCTTGGGTCTGGTATATTGGGCCAACTCTGGAACTGAATTGCCCCAACATCTCTGGGGGAAAGAGGCAGAAAAGGGCTTTCCAACATTACAAGGGTACCTGGAATTCCCCTTCATTTCAAACAGAGTGGCGTCAGGAGAGATAATCCCACATGGCAACAGGAACGGAAGAATTTACGGCATCCCCATGCAATGATTAACACTGCCCAAATCTGCTTTTTCTTTAAAGAAAAATATGATTTCTGCAGGTTTGGGTGGCATTTTGTAAACATCTGGGAGAGACCACAGGCCTCAGGTGGCTGCGAGACTCCTTGGCCACAACAGGACAAAGTCTCGCTTTCACTCCGGTTCCCTCGTAATTCCCAAGTGAAACACCCCAAACACGAAATTAATCAGCGTATCAAAAAACAAGCTGCGGTTATTTTGCCATGTCAGCAAAGTAACAGATGATTTCAGAGCCGGGTGGAAAGAGAGAACACGGTCCTTACTCTGAGACAGATGTGGGATATTCGATTTAGCTAGTGATGGTTTCTCTTTATACACATTTAGTCTTCGATCACAACTGAGCCCAAATTTACTCTTGCTGGACAGTTATGAAGTGAGTGTATTCCCCCCACCCCCCCACCCAATTTTACGATTTTCCTTGCCGTTGTTAAGTTAGTGACATGGTAGTTGAGGGAATCTTGGCTTCCCAATGGACTTGGCTTGTCAGAAGCTTCTATTCTAGGGATGGCGAACCTTTTTGTTGTGGTGTGCCGGCACCCACAATGCAATGCATCCCGCCCCCTCTGCTCATGTGCATGGAAAACCCCACCCCTTCCCTGCACGGCGTATGCGCGCGCCTCCCAGCTGATTTTTGGCTCGTTTGAGGCCGTTTTTGCCCTCCCGGAGGCTTGAGGGAAGCCTCTGCAGCCTTGGGAGGCCGAAAAAACGGGCTCATTTTGGCACTTCCGGTATTTCCAGAAGGCCCGTTTTACGGCCTCCAGGAAGGCATAAACGACCTCAAACAGGCTGAAAATCAGCCGGTAGTTGCGCACATGCGCAGTGCAGGTCAGTTTGGCTGGGGCTTGCGTGCCCGCACAAATGGCTCTGCGTGCCACCTGTAGCACGCGTGCCACAGGTTCACCATCACGGTTCTATTCTATTCTAGATAAGGGCGTCTCCTTTGGAAGGCTTCCTTAGAAGCATCACTGGAGGCTTCTAAGAAAACATTGGACAACCATTTGTCTGGAATGGGACAGGATCTCCTTGCTTGAGCAGTGGGTTAGACTAGATGACCCCCAAGGTCCCTTCTAAATCTGTCCCTCTGTTATTCTGTATCCCCATTGACAGAACAATTAATCAGGGGGAACGACTTGCCTCCAGAAGCTGTGAATGCTTCCAACACTGGAAGTTTTTTTAAAGAAGAGATTGGACAACCATTTGCGTGAAATGGTATTAGGGTCTCCTACTTGAGCAGGGGGTTAGACTAGAAGATCTCCAAGGTCCCTTCCAACTCTTGTTATTCTGTTATTCAAGGTGGCAAAAAGTGATCATGTCACCCCGGGACCCTGCAACCGTCACAAATACACTCCAGTTGCCAAGCATCCAAATTTTGATCATGCGACCACGGGGCTGCTACAATGTGAGAAATGGCCATAAAGTCATTGTTTTTCAATGCTGTTGTTAACTTGGAACGGTTGCTAAACAAATGCTAAACAACTTTTTGTTTACATCGTGGTGACCAGAACTGGATGCAGTATCCCAAGTGTGGTCTTGCCAAGGCCTTATAAAGTGGTATTAACACTTCATGGGATCTTGATTCCATCCCTCTGTTAATACAGCCTAGGACTGTGTCCAGGGATGGGATTCTACCAGTTCGCACCTATTCTCTAGAACCGGTTAACATTCTAGAAGAAATTACTGGCCTAATCCTGTAAGGAAGGCAGGAAGGAAACATTCTGGTGTTGCTTACAGAAACTGCCTCTCCGTTAACCCTTATTACATTCTTGGCAGGACTAGACTTCCTGTCTCTGGAATGTCTCTGGAGTTATTTTCCCCTCCTTTGAAGGTACTTTGCTTGTGTGGAGTGACCATTCAAAGTTACAATGGCACTGAAAAAAGTGACTTATGACCATTGTTCACTCTTACGGCTGTTGCAGCATACCCCACAGTCATGAGAGGCCAGGCAAGGAGAGGCGTGATATTGATGTGAGTGATGTGAGTGATATTGATTGATATTAATATTGATATTGAGTGATGTGAGTGATGTGAGTGATATTGAGTTGGCCACGTCCAGCCAATCACATGACCACCACGCCACGTCCACCCAATCACATGACCACCAAGCCACGCCCACCACTTAAGCCACGCCCACAGAACCGGTGGTTAAAAATTTGAACTCCACCCCTGACTGCGTCGACTTTTATTTTGGCTTCCTATCCAAGAAGGAAGCTTCTTGGATGAGAAGCAAAATGTTTCAAAAAAAAAAAAAACCCAAGAAGTTTCCTTTTTGGGGTGGGGGAAAAAGCATCTTTGGGACAAAACCGTGACCTGGATGATTGAGAATCTCCCTAGCAGAGGCTGTCTGGGCAGTCCATCTAGTAGTGAACTCCAAGCCCTTTACTCCTTGTAGCCAGGTGGCTCCAGACAGCTTCCTTCTGTCCAAACATTAGCTCTGTTCAGCTGCTGGGAAGCAGACAAGGGCAGGTGTGTGCAGGGTGTTATGGCGATCAACACATCGCCTGCTTAGTCATCTTGGGAAAGCTAAACAGATGGGAAGTATAGACTATACAAGGGAAAGCAGGGCACCGAAAATCAACACACCAAATAAACAAGAGAGGAGGTTACATATCTGTCCTACTCAATGTCTTGCCCCCCACCCTCCCCGTCTGCCATCTGAGGCAGAACCTATGCTGAACATCGGAGTTGGAGAGGGAAAAAGAGGCAACTGACGGGAGGGAAAGAAGGACATGGGACAGGGGGAGAACAGGCTGTTCTAGGAAATCATCTTGTAGGCTAAGCCTGCCAAGAGGACATGTGTGTGAGTGTGTAGGGGTGTCTACGGTTCCAAGAACTCGGTTTCACTGTTTCTCTGCCAAAAGAGAAAGAAAGAAAGAAAGAAAGAAAGAAAGAAAGAAAGAA